TCTCTCTCTCTCTCTCTCTCTCTCTCTCTCTCTCTCTCTCTCTCTCTGTTTCTCTCTCTCTCTCTCAATGGAAAGTCTGCCCCCCCCTTTTTTTTCTTTAAAGAAAAGAGTGTGTCTCTCCCCTACAAGTCATGATTCCTGGGATTTAATTTGGGGAGACCTGCATGCTTACCCAAGGTGCCAATCCGAGTTGAAGGGACTCACCCCTGACCCTCCTTTCAGTAAGAAAGAGTCACCATGTACTGAACAGCCACAGCCTTTTCGGGACACATGCAGAACAGCAAGGTCCTCAGTGCCACGGTGGGCAGCCTGTGTGTCAACCGTGGTCCATGAACTGTCTTCAACTTGAAGTCTCTGGCGATGGTGCCTGAAGAATAGCGACCAGTTCCCTGCAAGGATCTTTCTTCATGACAGGTTCTTCTGGGGTCAGCTCCGGCTTTGGCAAGTCTAGCAAAAACACTTTCAAAAGCTTGCCATCCTGGATCTTCTGTTCAAGCAATGGCTAGCAGGCACCTGTCCCCTGTGCTGTCTCTATGGCAACAGTCACATGCACTATCTTGGACTTTGTTTCCCCTTGTGGAGCAGCTGTCCTGCTGGCCTCAAAGTTGCTAGAAGTCTTTTACCAGTCTCTGGGACCTTTCTCAGTCAGAAGTTACTCTCCTTTGCTCAAGCAATACCCCCCTCATACATACATATACACATACACTTCCATGTTCCCGGCACATAGTCTCAAACATTACCCACAATTCCTCAAAGACAGAATTAGAGTCATGAGGGCAAGGCGAAGAATCATCGACTGTCTGTCCTGTACTTATGCTAAGGAGATTTTTGATGATGGAATGAATAAAACGTTCACACTCACTCACATATGATCCCTCAACTTTATCTAAACTTACTTAAATGAAAACACTTAGATGTACGTATCTGAGTAACACTGCTATCATGAGTGTCACAGACAGAGATTTTTGTTGGCTTTTTCTCCCTTTTTATTCCAAGATGCAAATGCCATTCTGGAATATAGTGGGAGTGAAATAGACATATACAGAGTCAGCAGCAACAACAACAAAAAAGACCTGACCCGTACTCAACCAGATGTAGCCCACAAGTTAAGATGTACTAGACTCAGACGGCGGACATAGCTCGTTAACAAAGAGTTTGTCTAGAATCTCCCAGTGAGGGGCCAGGTGCTTGGTTCGGTGATAAGAGTGCTTGTGGAACAGGCCCAAGGCCCTCCCTCAGTCCTCCGGATTGAGCAGAATAAACCAGCCTTCCTCAACTAGTTCAAAGTCAACAAATATCATGTCTCACACTCTGATGATAATTTTTCTGGCTCAAAAGCCACCCATTCACTGGTCTATCACCTCCTATCCACAGACATTCTATCTCAAAATGCTATGTACCTTCCCGCAGTCACCCCAACCCATTCAGATGACTCCCACCCTCCCTTAGCGCACCCCCCCCACACACACACACATTCATACAATTTAACTCACAGCTTCTTATCAGAAGCCTGCTGTCGACGCCGATTTTTCTTGGTTTTCTTCTTGCCCTTCTTTCCTTCTTCAGGCTTGTCCTCCTTCTCTGGGTCCTCCAGGAGGGGGACCCCATCCTTCTTGGCGATGCCCTCCTTGTCTGCATTCTCCCCTTGGGGAGACAGGCAGCACTTCCTGGGAGGCAGCTCTCCGAGACCTAGTGTGGTGGGACACAGCTCCTGCCTGAGGATTCGCGTCACATCCTCTACCGTCCTGCCCTCTCTCCGCAAGAACAAATTGAGTTTGGTGAGGAATTTGATGTCCTGCCATTTGGGCATGTAGACCACTCTCCACATACCGCCCTTGCCTTTGATCTCCCTGGGGACCACATCGTAATTGAGGTCCTCTGCCAACCTAATGATAGCTACCTTGGATCTGTCCTCCTCCAGAAAGGCCTTCCCAGCCACTTCAAACTTGCCCAGCGGTTTGAGGGGGGCCCGTATGATGTCTTCAAATTCTTGGTGACTACAGTCCTCTGGGATCCCCAGGATCATTAAGGACTTATAACTGTCTACCTCCAAGGCCTTGCAACCATGTTCTAACAATGCAATGTCCTAGACTCCAAATACCATCTTGCTCAACTCCTTGAGGCAGCTGTACGCGCGCTGCTGCGCTATGGAGCTGCCTCGAGAACCCACAGAAGGATCTAGGATGTCGAGGTCTCTTTCCAAGGGTGATGAGAAAGGCCTCACAGGTGAGGCTACTGATGGACCCAACTGGTCCAATTCAGTAAAGGGGATCCCCCAGCCGTCTGCAGCCCGCCCCCCTGCGAGCTCACTCTTGCTAGGACGACTCAAGTCAGCCACGGAATTGGAGTTGGGTGATGGTGGCTCCCAGGTCTCAGTCAAGGCTGCTCCAAGAAGAGTTTGAAGATGCAGACTTTCCCAGAACTGTTGGTGGCCTTTAGGAATCTCTGTGGATCCGAGACCGCTGGTCTCTCACCTGCTGCTGCCACCGTCATGAGTGTCGGGGTGGCGACTAGGCAGGTGGAGTAGGTCGCTTCTTACTGCTGTGCCCTGTGGCAGAGTTAAAGACCAGGATGTGGCAGTAACAGCTGCACTTGCTCCGGCAGTGACGTCATAGCTTCTCTGTGCGCTGAAGCCCTGTGGTCACTATGGCAACCTCCAGAGCTTCATCTCCGCTATTGGCAGATCCTGCTGCTTTAAAAACAGAGAATAAGGGAAAGAGAGGTCATTAGGCAGTGAAGGGTCAGCGTCTCGTACCTTTCTCATTTGAGAAAGAAGAGGATTCCAGGCAGGGTGTGGGCAGGGGCACAAAGAAGATACAAAGTAAGCCTTCAATGAGGCTTGGGTTCAGAAAGTTAGGGCATAGTCAAAGAATAAGGACAAAATCGTTAAGGACACAGAAGCCAGCTTGAAAGGTAACCACGAGCCAATTCAGAGAATTTGAGCATCACTACGAGGTTTCATTCTTTCATTCTTTTTGTCCCTGAGATCTCGTCACCTTAACTGGTCTTGAATTTGCTATATAGCCAGAACTTTGAACTTCTGATCCTCCTCCCTCCACTTCTCAAGATCCGGGGCTACTACATGCCTGCACCACGGTGCCTGGTCTATTGTAGCTCTGGGAATGGAAACCAGGCTCCTAGCATGCCAGGCAGGCATCTACCAACTGAGAAACACCCCTGCCTTAGCATTAATGTTAAAATCAACAGATTGTAACAGACAGTAACAAACATTGACACTTACTGAATAAAATAAGAACAGGTGGGGCCATGTAAATATACACAGGTGGAAAGTTATTTTTAAACATCTTTCCTTTTTTAATGTCTTTTTATATATTATGTCTGAGTGTTTTGTCTGTTTGTATGTCTGTGAATCACATGCCTGACTGGGGCAGGAGGTCAGATTGAGGACATTGGATCCATTGGAACTGGAATTACAGTTGTGAGCTGCCCTCATGAAAACATCCAACTGAACGCAGATCCTGGGAGAAATCAGGAGGTGAACCTGGAGAGATGGCTCAGTTGTTCAGAACACTAGCTGCCCTTGCAGAGGACCTGGGTTTGGGTCCAAGAACCCACATGGTAGCTCATAAGTACCTGTAGCCAAGGGCAGTGTCAAACTCTTTATTCCTGGTACTCAGGAGGAAGGAAGGTTCATCTTTGTGAGTTTACACCCTAGTTTACATAGACAGATCCACAAAGTATGTTCCAGTCCAGCAAAGGCTAAATACTGAGCCTGAACTAAATAAACAAAGATTAAAAACCTAACTACTTGTCCTGGATAGTGATGGCATCTGCCTTTAATCCCAGCACTCGGGAGGCAAGTACAGGTGGATCTCTGTGAGTTCGAGGCCAGCCTGGTCTACAAAGAGAGTTTTTGTTTTGTTTTGCTTTGTTTTTGTTTTTGTTTTTTTTGAGACAGGGTTTCTCTGTATATCTCTGGCTCTCCTGGAACTCACTCTGTAGACCAGGCTGGCCTCGAACTCAGAAATCCGCCTGCCTCTGCCTCCCAAGTGCTGGGATTAAAGGCGTGCGCCACCACCGCCCGGCTTACAAAGAGGGTTCCTGATAGCTAAGACTGTTACACAAAGAAATCCTGTCTGGGAAAGAGCCCCAATAATAGTAATAATAAATATTAATTTATTAATTAATTAATAAACCTAACTACTTGTAATTCCAGTTTCAGAGATCTGATGCCTTCCCTGGTCTCTTCGGGTGCACACATAGGTAGATACACACATACACACACACTCAAGTAAAAATAAATATTAAAATATTTTAAAAGTGATTGTACTGAATAAAAATTGGCTGTGCAACGTGGGAAACATAGTGTGCATCTATTCCTGTGAACACATTTCCCTTCTCAAGTTTCAAGGACACAGGGCTTGGGCCAGGGGTCAGCGGTAGAGCATTTGCTTAATACCTTTCAAGCACTAGTTTCCATACAACAGTCACACAAAAAGAGGATAGGAAGGGACTGGAGAGATGGCTTAGCGGTTAAGAGCACTTCTTTAGTGCTAAACGGACCCAGGTTCAATTCCCAGCACCCAGATAGGATCTCACAACCACCTGTAACTCACATAAAACAAAATATACAAATCCTTTTTTAAAAGTAAAAAAATAAAAGCATATGTACTCATAAAAGAAGAGAGCTGGAGAGAAAAGAATCATCTTCAACTCTTTCTATTCAAGCTTTATTTATTTATTTATTTATTTATTTATTTATTTATTTATTTATTTGGTTTTTTGAGACAGGGTTTCTCTGTGTAGCCCTGGCTGTCCTGGAACTCTGTAGACCAGGCTAGTCTCGAACTCTCGAACTCAGAAATCCGCCTGCCTCTGCTTCCCAACTGCTGGGTTGAAAGGCGTGCGCCACCACAACCCGGCTCAAGCTTTATTTTTATGTCTGTGTGCATCCCACACGTGTGCAGGTACATTAGGGAGCAAGAAGAAGGCGTCGGATCCCCAGAAGCTGCAGCCGTGGGCAGTTGTGAGTTGACTGACATGGATACGGGAACCGAACTTGGGTCCTGGGAAGGAGCAGGGATCGTTTTTTTTTTTTTAGCTGGTGAGCCATCTCTCCAAACCCACTCAGCTTCATCTCTATTCACAGCATCGTAACCAAGAGATACATTCTCATTCAAAACTAAATACATAAAAATAAAAAAATAAACTTAAAAAAAATGCTGACCCCGTAATATTTACTATTGGGATTTTGAGTCCTTGGCGCTTGGCTGCAAGTCCCTGGTTTTATTAGACACGTTCCACAGTGAGGGGCCAGCAACAGAACGGTCCATTCATTTGACAGACCAGTGCTTTCTGAGAAGTCACCTTTCACCAGGCTGAGGGTGCCGTGCTGAGCATACACGAGCATCCAGATGGGACAAACTGTGCATTTAGTAGCCCAGTCTCGTGGTTACGGCAGGCTTGCTCTGCCTGTTTACAGGGTGGGGAGACGAGAGTGTTTGTCAGAGAAATGTGTGGCCCTGGTGTGGAGTGAATATAATCTACTGGTTGGGCTCAGCGAGCCTGAAACACAGTTTGCTGTCCTTTATAGGGGCAGGAAGTGCTTGGGGGCAGTTGCGGGGAGGAGGGGCTTCAGTGCAGTTACTCTGGAGGAGTTAGAGCGCGGAACTTTAGTCTTACTCTTTCTAGTGGTTGATGGGTTCACTGTCTTTCCAGGTGTACAATCCTTTGACCTCTACTCATCAGTCACCGCTCCTCCTTACTAATTCACACAGTATTCTTCCTCAGATCTAGTTATGAACCTCACTTCTTGAACCTTTTACCATACGGGCCAAGATCTCTGTCTATCATGGAAATATGCAGCCTACTGTACTCCAGACCACAATTATAGATAATGATGCTATGTTGGTTCAGTCTATATTGCTATAGCAAAGTATCTGAGGCTGCATGCTTATGGAGGAAAGAGGTTTCGTTGTTGTTTTAAGACAGAGACTCACTGTATAGGCCAGGTTAGTCTGAAACTTGGGATCTGATTACTTTAGCCTACTGAATTCTGGGATTATAGGTACAGACCGTGATACTTGACAAGAAAGGTTTGGGTTTTTTGTTTGCTTGGGGGTTTTTGTTTGCTTTTTTGCTTTTTTGTTTGTTTGTTTGTTTGTTTGTTTTTTGAGACAGGGTTTCTCTGTGTATCTCTGGCTGTCCTGGAACTCACTCTATAGATCAGGCTGGCCTTGAACTCAGAAATCCGCCTGCCTCTTTTTGTTTGCTTTTTTGTTTGTTTGTGTGCTTGTTTTTTGTTGACTTACAGTTTGACTCACTTGGAGAGCACCTGTTTAGAATCCCCTAATGAGAAGCTATGGGTGTGGCTCAGTGGTACAGCCTCTGCCTAGAATCCCCCCCTGGGAGGAGCTTGTGGATGTGGCTCAGTGGTAGAGCATTTACCTGGCTTTCAGAAGAGCCTGAGTTCTAGCTCTAGCACCACACATATAAAAAAAGAACGATACCAGGGTCTGAAGAGATGGCTCAGTGGTTAAGAGCACTGACTACTCTTCCAGAGGTCCTGAGTTCAAATCCCAGCAACCACATGATGGCTCACAACCATCTGTAATTGGATCTGATGCCCTTTTCTGGTGTGTCCAAAGATATGAATACAGTATATTCATAGAAATGAAAATAAATCTTTAAAAAAAGAAAAAAGAGCCGGGCAGTGGTGGCGCACAGCTTTCATCCCAGCACTTGGGAGGCAGAGGCAAGCATATTTCTGAGTTCGAGACCAGCCTGGTCTACAGAGTGAGTTCCAGGACAGCCAGGGCTACACAGAGAAACCCTGTCTCGAAAAAACAAAAAAAAGAAACAAGAAAAAAAAAAGAACTATACTTAATACTTCACTGTTTTATGTAAACCATTAGTATTCTCATATGCATAAGCTTGCATAGACACAGAGATACATGAAAACAAACATGTTTATACTTACGTATCTACACCCAAAACATATAGAGTCACATAGGTGCAGACATGTATTTATGTAATGCATGAATATATACATCCATGCGTGTGTGT